TAGCAATCCTTCTTCAAATGCCCCTACTTCTTGCAGAGGTTATAAATCTTATTACTGAACTTAAACTTTAATCAGCCCCTTCGAGAACCACCATGAGCAACAATGCCTTCTTCATCTTTGACCTCTAAAACTAGACGATTTATCTTCTTTTTTGAAAATAAAGCATCATACACTTCCTCTATGGTGAGAGTATCACAACTATATAAGATTGTGTCTCTAAATGAAGAAAACGACGCGGGCAACGAACACAATAGGATCAATATCAAATCTTCTTTATCATACTTTACTTCCAAAGTTTCCAAATCAGCAACGATCTCTTTAAATATAGTCAGGTGATCTTCCAATGATCTTCCAGTCATTCAATGAAAACATAAATGCTATTTGAGATGCAACTTGCTGTTAGACTTTTAGTCATGCACAATTGCTCCAACTTCAATCATAAAGCATTAGTTGTTGAACCCTCCTTCAAAACGTCCTAAAAATTGTATTCGATAGATAAAGATGAATGTAAGAAACTGTCTTCTTATTTTTTCGTAATTTCTCATACGGGGTCAAAGTTGTGGACATCTTGTTAATTCCTACAACGCATCATCCAAATCTTGTTGTGCAAGTACTGCACGCATTTTAACCTGCCATAACGAAAATCTAGTGTTCCGATCTAAAAGAGCGGAATGTCATACTTCATGGAAGTCATCACAAACAAAAACCTCGAATAAATCAAACTATACACTCTTGCAGAACTGCTGAACCTGGCTCTATTACCACTTGTTGTAAAACAAACAAGATACAAAAATTGCTCTAATACCACTTGTGTTAATTATGCCCCGCATCTCTAATACGACTTGTTGAGAATTCAAGGATCACGTATCGCTTGATACCACTTAATATGAAACCAACCAACGGATTGAGATGTTGAAGTTATATGACAAAATAATGAAATATTTGATCACAAGCAAAATAATAAAAGAAGACAAAAAAAATGACACGAGAATTATGAGATTTTATTGCACCAATAATAATGAAGAAATATACAATTGATTCTAAAGTTCTAGTAATCACTTTTCTCACATTATAGAATTGTATAGAATAATCTAATATTTATAGGAAACATGTAGGGGATGTTCAAACCCTCAAAGTAGAGTTGTTGATGAAGTAGGATACCAAAAAATCGAGTCCAAAATAATTTACAACTCCCAATGGGCTTCCAAAATAGAACTTCAACTTGACATAAAACTCCAATAGCATTCCAAACTGAATTCTTCTTGACGTGCATTTCAATAAGAATTCTTCAATTATTTCAACAAAGAATTCGGATCACACCCAAATTCTAACGAGCATAAATCACCGATTCATGACCTTCATATTCTATTTATTTTGCATTCAAACTCGTATAATCCCTGCATTCTATTTAAACCCCATTTAGTATGAGAGGAAATAAGACATTCTATTTGTGACATACAAACATGTAACACAGCAAGTTGCTTGCTAAAATTAATCTTCAAATGTTTCATGACACTTCTGTTTGCAAATGCAAAATTTAAAGCACGAAGGGAAGATTAAGAACACAAATGAGTGGAAAAGAAACGAAGCCCCTGTTCATACAAGTAGCAAATAGAAGTTATATAGCCGACCTAAATGTATGCATAATAGAACTTAACTGAGGTGTAATATTTTTCACAATAGTCATAGCTTATGCAGATAACTGACTGAAGTTTAGCACATTCAATAATTATTTCCCAGTAAAGGAAAGCTGCATGTTGGATTAAGGTAATACAGATACTAGTCTGACCGCAGATATGTTAGTTACACAACTAGGCCACGTAACCTCAAAAAAAGAAGCCGAATAGGCATTAGAAGCAGCAGTTACCATGATACAGGAATCAGCATCTCAGCACATGGTAAATAATTATGTAAATCACTTCACATATGTATGTTTGAAAGCTGTATTTTGTGCAAACTAAAACCTGAACTTTGTTGCCTTAACTCTTGTACATTTTGGATGGCAGAGCAGGGCTCCGAGAATGAATAATTGCAGCAGCTATAGCAAAAGACTGCAGTGTCGATAGAGTTGATTGGAAATGGATATAATGCAAACCGTCGTGGATATTTAACATTTTCATGATGGGTGTGTTTTGCTTCGAACCCTGCAAAATAGGCAATGAGCTAATGTAATTTCAATTATTTACGGAGTAAATGCATATTTTCCAGATTAAATTTTATAAGAACAATCAAAAGAAAGAAAAGGTCAGAGTTCCCATCAGGGGAGGACTTAGGGGGCTCCCCTAGGCCACAGCACTCACGAAATTTGGGAAACAAAATTTTGTGATATATAAACACACACACACACACATTGTCCAGCCCAAAATATGATTTAGCGCACCCAACATAATTTTCTAGCTTGGCCACTGGTTTGAATGTAGAAGCATCATGTAACATTGGGCTAGAAAACTACAACAGTGAAAAAGAAAAGCCTTAAAAATGATATAAAGACATTAAAATAAAGAAAATGAAGGATACGAGACACTCCACAAACCTGTATAAAGAAATTGTACGACTTGCATTCCTCTGAATTTTCTAACTGGAAGGAAGCATCAGTGCCACTAGACGTGACGTTGAGTACTGTTAGCGGGCACCCAATATCCCATCCCCCACAGTCACAGCACCCACCTGAGATCCACCTATCAATAAGAGTTGAAGGACCACCATTTCTGGTTCTTGGTCCCCCATGAAAACCTGCTGGAATGAGAATGTTCGTGCTTGTTGAGCATTCACCACTGTTTCGTGGACATATTTCAGAAGGTATTGAGGTCTCTAGACATTGATTATTTCCAGATTTTTTTAGAAACTTTAGTCCCCATCCTCCAAGTGCTGCCTCCTTACGGGTGCTGCAAATATGGTCTCTCACAACAATGGCTGCCAACTCAAGATTTGCAACATATTGATTTTCTGCACTGCCATCATCTGGATCAAGACTCTTTTGCAAACCTCGAGGTGGTTCCCAAGAAGTATCTTCAAAGATTGCACTTGTCCCCTCAAATTTGGAAGACGATCTCTGCTTTGACCTGAAAGCATTCACTACCTTCCGTGTGAGTCTCTTATTCTTCCCAAGGGCATTACTTGAGGCCTGCGTCTCTCCTATGGGATTGCCATTGAAACCAAATAGAACAAAACGAGTTTCCCGTATTTCTGAGTTGTTTGAACATAATGTGATTGAAGTAGAAACTCGCATTCTCCCGAGGAGTTCTAACTCATGTTCACGAATATCACATTCTTTGTATCCATTTTTACTTGAATGAAATGCGTAGACATAATCCAAAACCTTATCTTCTGGTGACTCAGCTTTAAACAGACTGGCTACATAGACTTCCTTGTCATCTATGGAGAAAACATGGTGTGGCAACCCATCCTTCCATATAATTTGCAGCATTCCATGATACATCGCAGAAGATACAGAAGAAGACGTCTGATCAGAACAAGTAGAGTTTGTGCTTGATAGGGATGTATGCCTTTTATGCGCACATGCAGATCCATATCCATGATCAAGAACAGTAACCTCCTTTTGTATCTTATGCAACAAACTGCTAGAAGTCACAGAATCGGAACAAACTGGTCGACTGGAATCAAGTATACTTCTTCCAAAATTGACATTACTGTCTAAAGTGCCAAATTGGTGAAGTAATGGGCTCTTCAAGATGTTCATCATACTCTTGCTACCAGTCACCTTGCTTATAATCCAATCTCTAGTAGAGCGTACAGCAATGTTTTCAGTTCCCACAACAAAAGGAAATTGAGTGCCTAACCTAGCCATTTCATATGAACTTCTGTTGGTATCTGACAAAATATCCACTTTAGAAGAAAAACTCTGTACTGCTGCCCTCAACGCGTATGTGCGTATCATTTCAAGGCAACGAAGAACGTATTTCTCATCAAAGCTTACGATGTGCATTGGAATTTTACTATGTAAACCATGAACATTTCGAAGGAGGAACTTTTCACTGCAATTTCCACTAGTTCGTGATCTCCTAACATTTAACAACAGAGCATGCTCTGGCTCTATCTTTCTTACACATGTTTTGGACAAAATATTTTCATTAGCTGATTCTAAATTTTCACTCGCGCATGCCACTGACACTTCATCGTTTTGATCATCTTTCCCCAAATGGATACTTATGTTTTCCATCTTCTAACTCCAAGTGGAAAATTTAAAATAAATGGACACTCGTTTACTTCTGGATTCTTGTCTGTATGCAAGCTAAAAGTATACCACTTGGCATTGACCTTTCTACTGTTTAATTGATCCTATGAAACAAGCTGGAAACGAATTGCACAAACAGTTGATCAATGTGTATTGAAGAAAATGCTAACTTTAATTGGAACAAGCATCATGGAGAAAAAAAGGGGCCAAACAACAACTAATCATTTACCCAATAATGGTCGGCTACATGAATTTTTTTCCACCACCATGTTTGGTTCATTGCTTAATCCATTAACAACTACCACAGATTATGCTAGTTTTGATCTATCCTCCCTCTTCTAACAAAAACAAAAAGGCGTGCGAAACAATAACTAATGTAAAGTTAGACTGATGAACCTAAAAATAAGAAGCAATCACAGATACTAAGAATTAAATATTTTTTTTCGAAATGATATTTACATTTGTTTATAACTAGTAGATAAAAAGGAAAAATGCTTAAGAAATTTTAAATATTACTTACCAAATAATAGAAGGAAAAAACTAGGCAGAACTCATGTTCAGATTACATAACCCTATTTACAAAAGTTTCAAGTCTCTTGTCATTCTTATTACAGAATCTCCCCAATGGAATTGTTCAACTTCTCTCTCCATTAATATCCTCACCAAACATCAATATCCTGGGCAGTTTCGAGTTTGGATGAATATGTTTTATTTTCGAACTCATTTTCAGTTCTATATCACCATACTGATGTTCTGATAACTTATGCATGAAGCTTAGAAGTTCATACAAATAGCAACAGCCCAGGCAGATTCACACATCTCTCACACTCAGAGAAGCGACAATCATATAAAAGTACATAAAAGGAAGCAAAAAGAAATTTTACATAAGCCCAAATAAAATTCTCTTTGCACATTAAATAAATCTTGGTAACTTAATCCAACAAAATAGCCACTTTAATTAATACAAAACTACATAAAGGGGAAAATAATATATCCAAACATAAATATATCTTCACTTGTTCTTAACTCTCAAAGGAAAAAAAAAAGAAAAAGAAAAATTAGAACAAATTACATTCCCAAAACATCCACAGTATATTTGAAGTGAAAAATCAACATATTTTGCTCACCTAAACCATAAGATTGAAGATGGAAACCCTCATCAGCTTGAAACTCTTCTTGAAAATTCTGCTGAAACCCATTAAAGAAACTCTTCTAATATTCAATTCCAAGAAAAACACAGAAAGTAAAAGATAAATATTATAAAGAAAATGACAAATATTAACCCTTAAAAGGTCAGAAAAAAATCACCTTGTTTCCCAAGAACAAGCTCCAAAACTAGAAATAATTGATTTTACGCTACACAATTCTTAGTTGAAGAAAGATAAAGCAAACTACAAAAATAGAACCCCCAAATCTAAAGAGAGAAATGAGAATCACAACTAACTGAAGTTTGGTTTCTAATGGCGTAAGCCACGTCTAGTTCTGGAAAAATTTGACATCAAAATCTTGGGTTTGCGTGGTAGGTCCCAATTTTGCCCAAAATGTGCATTTTTATGGTCTAATCAAAGACAAATAGATATAGCTAGATATTAAAATGCGTATATTCAAGAAAATATAGAGATATAGATATAGTTTAGGTGTATGTAGAGGAGCAGAGAAAAATAGAAATGTGTGAGCTGGTACGCACGATAGTCATAGACTAAATGCCCCCCACTATGCATCACCACTAACCCAAATACATAAAGGAAATACATAAAATCAGAAACTTCAGCTGAAAAACCAGAGATCAAAAAGGGAAAGTGGGCCCTTGATTTCTCTCAAACATGTGACTTCCATACATATTTACCAGGGTAAATTTAGCTAGAGGTTCTCAACCTTTTATAAACTTGGCAGTTATGTTTTAAATTTTTTATTTTTGACATTCATATCCTCAACCTTTTAGTAGTGTGTACAAGTAATATTTTTACTTGACCAAAAAACTATCTATTCAGAAATGTGTGACTAAAAGGGACACTCAAAAGCAGATTTCCTTTACTCCGAAAACCAAACTGTGTTTGTTCAATTTACATGAAAAAAAAAATTTATTTTCTTTTTTTACAATTTTACTCTTCTAGTTGGACATTACGTGCAATGCATGGTCATATAACGTCTATATAGACATTTTTCGTCACGTAGAGATATCATATATATAGTGCTAAAAGGTTGGGATATATATACACACACATATATATGAGTGTGTGTGTGTATATATATATATCTTCTATATATTAAAAGTGGCTATGTAACGGAATTTCTTGTTTTTAACGGAAAAACTAACGAAATTTGTTGTTTTAACGGACTATGTAACGGAATTTCTTGTTTTAAACAGGCAGCTGCACCTTCTTTCAGTATTTTTATCATAACTTTGTATTCCGATATCCGATTGATGCGATTC